GTGAGCTAGGACTATAATTAACAGGGTACTCAGGACTGAGAATTTTTTTTTCTAAGTTGGCGGGATTAGATTCTTAAAATAATTAAAAGATAGCAGAGGTTGAATACAGAAAAAGTGTTTGAATGACAGACCAAGAGTCCAGAAGAGGTGAAAGGAGGTAGTTGCAGACAAAAGAAAATCCTTCCAAAATGCAATGCTCAGGCAATACCTTCTGAAGCATTCTGAAAACTCATAATAATTAAATCCTTGTGTTTTTTTTTTAAAGATTTATTTATTTATGCTTACAGAACTGGCGTACAGGCTAGAAGTGTGGTGGGTGAGAGGATTCACCAGAGACAGAACAGGCAGATGTACTGAAATACTCTACTGAGGGGAGCAGCGGGTGGGTCAGGAGAGGTCTGCCACATGGGTCAGCTCCCTGGTGGGAGGATCGAACTTAGGCTGCAGTGGCTTCAGAGAGCTTCATAATGCGGTACTTTAACCCACTGGGCCACCACGGAGGGCCCTAAGTCCTTGGTTTTTATAGGACAATGTTTCCCAAATACAGACATAAGAGTCACCAGGGATATTTATTTTAAATTTTGATTTCCAGAGATTTTAATTTAGTGGTCTTGGGAAGGGCCCAGGATTCACTATATTTTATGAGTACCCCATGCTATTTTTGTGATAAAGAAAATTTGGGACAATTTCTGCCAGAACAATGCTAAATGGCAAATGAATAAGCACGTTTAAGGGTTAACTCAGCAGTGACTTGACACTAAAGTAAGAGGAACTCAAATGAATAAGGAGAAGCAGGACCTGGTGAGACTGTCACAAGGGAAAGTGAACTTGGCTGTTCAGCTTTCTGTCTGGGAACACAAAGTTATTTTCATGGTAGTATAGTATCTATAAACCTTGGAAAGACAAAGTCAGAAACTTCATTAGACAGCAACTCCTCAAGTCTTCATGTCCATATTCCTAAATGTTTAAATATCAAATGTGACCTTAAGCCAAAGTAATATTGTTCATTTTATCACTCTATTTCTATATTTAATGTTACTTACTATATTTAATGTTGACTTCTGACTTTTCAGAATGTTCATTATTCTGACAACTGTATACGTTTTCAATTAAAGCAAGTTATATGAAAAAAGATAATAATAAAGTTGTTATAAATTGCAAACTAAAACATTCCTAACATTAAGAAAACCTTTCTCCTTTTTATTTATTACATTAGTTTTACTGAGGTAGCATTAGTTTACAAAACTGTTTGATTTTGGTATGGTCATACTTCTTCAGATATATGTCACCACACCACACTCACCACCCAGGCACCCATAAACCTCCACCATAATCCGAAAGACCCTCCTCGTTTATTCCCCAACACCATACCATGCCATTCTGGTAGCTTTAGTACTACAGCCAGAATTTCGAGCATTTGTTTTGGTTTATCTTTATAACTTTGTTTTATTTATTTATCTTCTATAAGTGTGAAATCACTGGGTATTTTTATTTTTCCTTCTGACTTATTTCACACAGCATAATCCCTTCACTTCCATTCATGTTGTTGCAAATAGGAGGAGTGATTAATCCTTTTTATAGCTAAGTAGTATTCCACTAAGTAGTATTCTAGAAACCACATCTTAATTCACTCATCTGTCCTTGAACACTTAGGTTGTTTTATAACTTAGCTATTGAAAATGTGCTACAATGAATACAAAAGTGCTTATATCCCTTCCAATTAATATTTTTTTGCATTTGATAGATAACTAGGAATGGAATTGCCAGATCATTAATCCATTTGTATCTGAATACTTACACCAAATTTATTAATAATGTGTAAATGTAAACAATCCAATCTGGATTGAATGATCTTACAATAGTATGCTGTAACAATAGGAAAGTATAGACCACTACTATTGTAATGATATAGATGAATTTTAGGAGCATTGAACAAATTGAAGCAAATTATTTATAAAAGACTGTGTTGTACAAATTCAGTTATTTGACATTTTAGAAGAGAAAAGACTTCAGTTGTAGAAAGCAAATTTGTGTTCACCAGGGACCAAAGGAGATGGAGTGTGGAGAAGAGATTTATTGCAATGGGGTCTGAAGTGAAGGAGATGTATATTTCTTGATTGTGGTCATAGTCAATGAATCTTAGTATGTGAAAATTATACATCAATAAATCTAATTTTAATAATACCATAAAATATAAATACAAACTTCTTAGAGATAAATCAAATGAAAAAGGAATAAGATTTATGAAATGAAGGAAAAATCAAACTTTTCTGGAATATGTCAAAGATTATCTAAATGCAAAAGGACTATCCTTTGTTTAGTGATTGGAAAAGTCAATGATTTTAAAATGTTAATTCTATTCAAAATGATCTACAGGTTTAATATCATTTTATCAAGACCTCACCAATATTTCTTTGTGGGTCTTAACAAAATGACTTTAAGTTTTATATAGGAACACAAATATATTTGAAAAGAAAAAATTAGAGAGATTTGTCCTATAAGGTATGAATTTACACAATGTTTTATTGACATCAAAGAAAATAACTATCTTAAAAGAACAATATAGAGAGTCCAGAAATAGGTCCACAAGGTTATTTGATATAGGACTAAATGTTCTTATAGAACTGAAGGAAGAAATTATGAGTCATTCAATAAATGGTATAGCTATCCATGGTCTGAGACAATTATTTTATCACCTGAAAAAGAAAATTGGATTCCTACCTTGCACTGTATTTAAAATCAATCCAAAGAGGAAAAAGCTCCAAACTTAAAAATGAAATAATAATTTTTTTGAAATGGCACAGTGCACTTTTCTACCTCATGATAAAAAAGGAGTTAATGATGAAACAAAATACGAGATTAAATTTTTGCTTCTATAAAAATAAGTGATATTCATCAAAAGATACTGAAGTATGAGTGAAGAGAAAGTTGACAAGATTAAAGATAAAGATGGGTCACAAACTAGGTAATGATGTTTACTTAAAACCAACAGAAGACCAGTATCTAGAGCTTCTCTACTTTAAACCTCCCAAGAATGAATATGACTAGAAAAGTCACTAGAAAAGTAGCAAAATTATTTTGTTTGCTAAGATATTATTGAGGATTTTTGTTCATCAGGGATATTGTTCTGTAGTTCTCTCCTTCTTTCCTTCCTTTCTTCTCTTTCTCCCCCTCCCTTCTCTCATAACCTGAAGTAACCTCATAAAACATGTTTGGAATCACTTCCCATCCCAATTCTTTGGAAATTTGGGGTAGATTAGGTAAAGTTTGAAAGTTGGTAAAACTCACTGGTGAAACCATCTGTCCTGGGCTTTTCATACTCCTATGTCCACTGCAGCACCATTTACATTTATTGCAGCAGCCAAATTATGGAAACAACCTAAAGGCCCAACAACAAAGACTGGATTGAGAAGTTGTGTTATATGCACACAATGGAATACTACTTAGCTATAAAAAATAAATTTTAAAAATTCATGACAACATGAATGGAACTTGGTGGTACTCTGCTAAGAGAAATAAGTCAGGAAGAAATACAAATATTGGATGTGAAATAAATAAACAAATATTGGATGTGAAACAAATAAACAAATAAAAGGAACATACCAAATTAAAACAAAACATACTTCAGAAATTTATCTGTATACTTGAAGTCACCAGAGATGTAAGGTGGGAGGGAGTTGGGAGCAAAAAGGGGAAGAGCCCAATGGATTATGGGTGATTTGGCGGTGAGTAGGTGTGGTGACATATATCTAAAGATGTGTGGGCTATAGCTCTAAATCATACATGGTGCTGTAAACCAACATTATTGCAATAACATTACAATAATAAAAAAGAAAAGCTAACAAAAATAAGAGAAAAACAGCTAAAGAAATGTTCAAATATTTCAGAGGAGCAAGCTCAAATTAACCTAAACATAAAAGACCCTTAAATGTATGAAAGGATTTTCAAACTCACTAGTAGTTAAAGAAATACAAAATTTAGTTCATTATGAGAACTCATCTGTACCAAAAGATAAGAATATTTAAGTTACGCAGTGCCAAAATTTGGTAAGCTGTTTAATGAATGAGGATTCTTATTTACTGCTGATGGTGGTATAAAGTATTTCAGTTTCTTCAGAAAATGGATTAGCTTTCCTGGTATCTTGGACATATATCTTACCTATAAATGATCAGTTCCATTAATGTGTATAGAAGCAAAATAATTATTGCCATGTGGGTCAATTCTTACAGATATTGTCCAGGAACAGGTAAAATAATGTTTTTAGAAGCATTGTACATAACATGATAGAAAAAAACTGGAAACTGTCCAAATGCCCATCAACAATAGAAAGGACAAATAGTGTCAAAACCTTATAATGAAATACTAAATAAATAATATTTAGCTATATACAACATGGATGGATTATGAAAAAGCATAATTTTGAATGACAGAATAAAATCACAAGACCAATACACTATTTGATTATGTTTATGTCAATCTTAAAACCTGGCAAGCCCAAAAATAATCTTCTGTTCAGGCACACCTATGTGGGTATAAAACTTCCAAAGAAAGCAAGAGGATGGTTGATATATAATTTAAGATATCGGTTACTACTTAGTAGATTTGTAAACAGTGAATCGCATCTAAGAGCCTCTGATGAATAGTAGTGTTCTATCTCTTGATCCCGGACAGGTGTTCATTTACCTTTATTTCGTGTATACCATATTAATCTGCATTTATTCTTTCATGTATGTTACAATTTTAAAAAAAAGACTTACATATTCCAAGGCTATGAAACCAGATTATCTCTATTCAACCATTTAGGGTGACACAAGAAATTTGAATTTTTATCATATTCCTAGGGTGATTCTGATAAAGTAGTCTGGGAATCACATTTCAATATCTGCTTATTACTTCTGTGTTTGAACCCTTCACTTTTAAAACTTGGCATTTCATAAATATCTACAACTTGATTAAAAGAGGCAGTTTAATAATAAACACACAACTCTTCCAATTCCAGAATTTATCACTTTACTATACATAAAAACTAAACATTTACAGAAGAAAATCAAAGGAAACTTCATTTTTAGATAACATTGGGAAAGTTGCACAAGAGACTGATGACAAAATTCATAAAACTTCTCCGTACCGTATCAGTACCATCCAGAGAAATTCAATCAACCATTATACTGGAGATTGAAGAGTTTAGTACCTGAAACCCAGTGCCTTCTTGATTAATCATTTGACTATAAAAATATAAAACACCGGCATCTTTACAAAACATGAAACTGTTATTAATAATGTCACAGAAATAACATTTTGCTAAGAAAATAATATATTAAAAGGATGACAAAAGTCAGCTGCCAGTCAATATTAAAGTTAAATATTCCTAAAATGCATTAAGTTATATCAGTTCAAGCAACACTGTCCAATTGCTTTAGAGATCTACTGAGTAATGTTATTCCAATGAATCTTGCTATGGCATAATTTTACTTTACATATATACAGAGTGTGTTATTGTATGTACACTTTAAGGAGCCACTCCATAACCACACCTTCATGACCATGCCTGTTTTTCAGGCAGAAAGTTTCCCTCTGGCTTCTTGTTCACTGCAAAAGGCACAGGAAACCGTTTCTCGCTAGCAGTCCATTACATTAGGCAAATCTGGGCTCTGAGCTTTTGCCTTCTTTGTGGAATGATGGGCAGTATTAAGGATTTTTGACTGATAAGTAGTGTCTGTGGGTGAACATTTCAGACATGAGCTACACTTTTGATTTCTGTGCTTCTACGAGACTGTAGGACCCTTTCATGTTGGCTTTTCTTGCAAAGTAAATAATCATCCCGACGGCGGGTATTATTAAGGAGGAGGCACAATAGAGCACTAGAAGTTCAGGAGAAAAATAGTTCCTGCTATTTTCCTTTCCTAGAAAATAACAAAATAGATGCAATTAATGTCTAGGACAAAAAGAAACTGTTTAATAATAAGTTACATGGTTTAACAGTACAACTAATTTTCCAAAGAGAAGTAAAAAAGAACCCAAGAATGCATATTTCTCTGGATTATCCAAACTAGCAGCTGGTAGTTTCAATGTTCATGATAAATCTAAAGATGATAGTTATTGACTTACTCAAACTTGGATTCAATTGATGCAGGTTAGTTGTAGAATTGAAAGAAGGGGCAACTTTTTAGGACTCATTTCAAAGAGCAGGAATGGAAAGGAGAACTTGCTTTGGGAAATAGAAATTTACTAACAAACTAGGAGTCTGATGACCACATGAATCAAAAACCATAAACATTTCCCCAAGAAAATCCTCTTAACATCTACAGTACAACCATTATAATCATATAGCATGTATAGAGTAGTAAGGAAAGGAATTCTTCCTGATAACTTTTAGAAATATACAGGTATCTCTGAAGTAAGACATCTTAATATATGTTTATCTCTTGACAGTCAAGTTACTTGGATAGTATGATGTCTCAGCTTTAATGTCATAGAGGCCTTGTCTGGCCCAGAGACTCGGGGTGGAGGAAGACTTCTTCAGAGACAGAGTGGGGGGCAGAACAGGCAGATCAACGAAGTACACTGCTGAGGGGAGCAGCGGGCGGGTCAGGAGAGGTCTGCCATGCCATGTGGATCTCACCCGGGGCAGGCGGGGATCGAACTCATGCGGAAGTGGCTTGAGCTTCTTAGTGCAGTGCTTTAACCTGCTGCGCCACCAGGGAGGGCCCCGAGGAACCCTAATATATTTTTATGTAAACATTGCATGGTCATGTCATAGCTTTTATCACAGCTTGGAATTAAATGTTTGTTTCTAAGGACATGTGTCTATTTTCTTACCACTACTGAATAGCTAGTACACCTGGATCACTACTAGGATTGACATGCAATCATTAAAAAAATATATTTATTTATGCATATAAGAACTGGGGTACAGGCCAGAGGTATGGTGGGGGGGGGCGGAGAGGATTCACCAAAGACAGAGTGGAGAACAGAACGGGTGGACTGACTGAAAAACACTGCTGAGGGGGGCAGTGGGCAAGACAGGCAAGGTCTGCTGTGCCATGTGTGTCACCTCCTTGGCCAGGGATCCAACTCGTGCTGCAGTGGCTGTGGACAGCTTCACAGCGCTGCACTTTAACTCTTGTGCCACCAGGGAGGTCCCTCATTTTTTTCTTATATGAAAACTTTTTGCTCTTTACATCCTGTTATTTCTGCCTCATGATATTTCACCACTTAATATAGAAACAGGAGGTAATCGCATAAAAAAACTTTAAAATTAGTATTTCCTATCTATAAAAATTATCTGAGAGTCAAAATACTATTTAACATTTTAAACTTTTAAAAACATCTGCCGGAGATAGTATGGCATTTGCTGGAGATTCAGCTTTATTCTTATGTTTGTATAGCATTGTAGATCCTCATAAGAATTAAATTCTTCAAGAGGTGTATATTTAGTCTCAGTCCCAGAAGAAATGAATGATCTCACTTTGGCAATCACTACATTCTTTCTAGAGGTTTCTAATCACTGGAGGTTAATCATATAGAAAAGAATCTGATTACAGGGAATAAAAATTTTCAAGTTATTGAAGTTGAAACAATTTTACCCTAAGCAAAGTGACAATTGCCACATTTTTCTACTTTGCCTTCTAGAAAAAATTCAAGGGTAGTTTTTCAATTGGCTGACCATTATTCTAACTATAGATGGACATTAATATTGATGATAGTGGCATTTTTGTTACTACTATTTTCTCCTTTTCTCCCAATATAATCAATATAATCTTCTGCCTTTCAGTTTTTTCCACAGGCATCTGTGGTGAAACACAAATTTGCTACTCAGTTGATAGCCAGGGCAATCTTCAAATGTGACTTTCTATTAGTTGTAGAAACAATGAAAATCTGAAAGCCTTCCAACTATTCTATCATTGGTATACATTCAAACTAAAACAGAATGAAACAAATTAAAAATGAAGCTAAATGCAAAAGAAATTTCATTCAAAATGCCCCCAAAAGTATCAATTTTTTGCTTCTATTTATGTGTACTTATATTAAACCATATTTTGTCTGAGGACTAAATTTCAAGATTAGTGACTAGGTCAGAGTAACTTTCTGGTCATTTAAATAACAAGTAAAACATGACAATTGCATAAGTTAGTAATTTAATAAAGTTAGAAAAGACAGTGTGCAAGAAAGATTTATAAATGGAGAAGCCTTGATAAGTCTTTAAGTAGAATCATTGAGTACAAAAGTCATTAATTACCAAAATGTAAGAAACTTAATTTCCTGGGGTGAAGCATGACTAACTGTGGCCTGGAGACATCAATGATTAAAGAAACAATGTTTTTCAATCTACTCATCACTGACATATCAGTCTAGAATCATCCTGAACCTCAACGGAGGCAATGATTACATACACCCCTGTGTCATTTGGAGTGACACGACACAGGTTAAGTGTTCTGTTCTTTGAACAGAGTAATTTCATTGACCAGATCAATTCTGATCAGAATAATGATTTTAGACAGATGAATAAAAGTTGTACATGCAGCAAAACCTCCTCATTTACCATTTCTGAATGGATATATTGCTATGTTTGTGTTTTGAGGAGATAGTATAAATGCAGAAAATATGGTAAGATTTGGAACCTTGAGGCAATTGAGCCAGATGAGTAAAATATTCTTTTCTCAGCTAGTTCCAGGTTTTCTTTACATTGTTGGCTAACTCTGACAGCCAAATACCAGAGGCTCCTAAGAGTTACCATTTGTTTTTAGTTCTTTCTACTCTGAGTTTGGCTTCAAATATACAATGGAAGTTCATTAGTGTGTAAGGAGTTGGAGACTGATTCCTAAAGGTTGAAATATTCTGCTCACATTGGTGAGATTAGCAGATCCTACTGTGCATACATAATAGGGCTTAGATGAGAAAGGGCTTGAAGTTTCTCTACTGAGGTCATTGTTCCCTCTCCTTCCATCAGAATAGAATAGAATGGACAAGGGGATTGGGTTTTTAAAGACTTATTGATTTATTTTTGCATACAAGAACTGGGGTACAGACCAGAGGTGCAGGAGTGAGATGATTGATCAGAGATAGAGTGGGGAGCCGGACAGGCAGATCTACTGGAATACACTGCTGTGGGGAGCAGCGGGTGAGACAGGAGTGGTCTGCTGTGCCATATGGGTCAGCTCCCTGGTCGGGTAGCAACTCAGGCCATAGCAATGACAGCACTAAGACTTAACTCTTAGGCCACCAAGGAGGCCCCTATTTTATTTATTTATTTATTTATATCTTTTCTCATTTTGTACATTTTTTCATCTGAGTTGTAATCCCTGTGAGCTTCCCACTACCAATTCACCCATGTGCCATCACTGTGGTCCCATGTGTTTTGGGTTTTTAAAGAGAAAATTATCTAGAGATTCTTTTATACTGTTCAGCATCAAGATTGTCATTCCAGATTATTATACTGAAAAGAGTCAATGTAAGCAATAATGTAGTCGCTCCTTGTTCCAAGAGTGACTTCTGGCAGGAAGAACAGGAGTCTGAATAGACCCTTCTTTCTCCATATGCTAATCCTATTTCTTTAGCTTCCTTATAACCCCCAAGGAAAAGTTTTGAAAATATGTTTAAACACTTAAAATACGTGAGACATCTGAGACCAATGATGAATTGTCAGTTTTGAAAAAGCAAATGGGAATTCTATACTCGCCAATCATTAATCTCAACTTCCTGGCTAAACTCTAAAGGATAGAGCAGCTGTGCATGATTATTTTAGAAAACATAAAGAAACAACCCCCTATGACCATAGAATTTCATTTCATTTGCCAGCTCATACACCTAATTATAGAAATTCTTTATGATCTACAACTCTGGCGTCTTATAAAAATATAAATAATAAACAAAAACAAAAAAATGAACTAACCTTTAACATCAAGTGTTAGACTCCTTAATTGCAAGCCAATCTCATTTTTAGATTCACATTCATACACCCCGGCATCCTGCAACTGGGCCTTGTGGATGGTGTATGCACCGTCTGTAGACTTCAGCACAGTGTCTCCTGTCACTGCCTTTTTCTTTAAGATAATCCACGTTTTGGGAACATTTAGACAGGTGCAGGAGATAATGACAGTGTCTCCTTCCTTAACACTCTCAGAAGGAAAAACTGTGAGTTGGATGTCTTTTGGAGCAACTGTAAAAAGAATTTAAAAGATGCCTCTGATGAGTGAAATATATAAGCCAATTCCTTATTAATTTAATGACTACCAGTAACTGTCAAGGAGTTGTTTATGCTTACTATGCCCATTAAATGTTTAGAGGTATAATTAAAGAAGTAAAGCATTTACTGGGTTGTTTCAGTGATCATGCTTTTAATGGAAGAAGATGCTTCATTTCTCTCATGTCCCTTAATGTAATCCAGCCAAAGAATAGGTGTTTAAAAACATTTATAGGATTCCAGTGTGGTAAAGAACATATTTTCTTGTTATGCTGCTGTACAGGCTTCTAAATTTTGAGTTGGGCTCTCCCAGACCAAGAAACTAAGCTGTTCAAAAATGGCTTACCAATACCATTTACTAGTTATCAGGCACTGAGATAAAAATCTAACACACAACATCTCTATTGATGCATGTCCTATGGGCAGAGAGGCCATATTATCATTAAGAGTGAGATTCTTGTTCCATCCATGAGTTTTGTGATTTGAGTTGAGTCTTTCCCCAACCACAGCTACCGCACTGTGGCATCCATCTTATGGACTTCCTTTAAGGATCTTCATTTAAAATGGATTATTATTATAGAGATAACAAGAAAGTCACCAGTAGCTTCCTAGAAACAACATCAAAGGCTAAGAGCAAAAATGACAGCCCCAGTGATGTAACAGGCCCAAAGGCAGGTATGGGGGTAAATCCAAATTGATTACTTTATGGTTTTACATCATCCTGTCAACCAGGAATAACTGTTCTCAGTCTTGGCTCTCCCTCCTAAAGTGGAGTGTGTATGTGTGTATGTGTGTGTGTGTACACAGGATGGTACATTTCCTAGATCTGGTAACCTGGTCCACTCTTAGGATTCTATGTCAATAAACATATGAACGAGAAGGCACTGTTATGGATACTTGTAACCTTGGAATTTTCCAGGGTGGGGGGATGCATTCTTAGATTTTTAAGTAAATACTAGCAGGCATTTTGGCAAATTTGTTAGATCTGGCAGTTTTAATTTCTAAATATGTATATAGCTCTTCCCATCCTATTTCATTGCCATCATTATTTCCTCCTAAGTGTAAAGAAATCTTCACATAGTTGTGGAGCCAGTGTTCCACTTGAACTAAAAGAACTTCAGGTTAAGTGATTTGGAATGGCTCATGAGAAAGTACCACTCTAGCATCTCTCCAGGTATAGGAAACATCATGAGCTCTTCAAAACCCTCAACACACCTTTTTACTAAAAATCTTGTATTTAAAGAGGACTTTGTTCCAAATCAGCAACATGACCAAAATGACAAATAGTAATTAATCATGCTCTGCTCACCTTGGATAATCAATTCTACTTCTTTTCTGCTTACTCCAGCCTGGTTCATTGCTTCACACACATAAGTACCAGAATCTTCCATTCTTGTAGATATTAAACTGAAAGTAGTATTCTCAGAAAGAGGCTGTAGATTCCCATTATTTAACTGTCGGCTCCACTGGATTTTGGGAGCTGGAAGGTCATTGCTAGAGCATGTCATGTTCACAGAACTACCTTCCTCCAGAGTGGGGGAGGGACTGACCAAGATGGTTGGAACCCTGGGAGAAACTAAAAAGTTGGGGACACTTGTTAGTTTGACCCCTTCATCCCTGAATTCGAAAGAGTTTTAATGGTATTGCCCAACTGGGCTATGGATTCAGCATGTTAGAACAGTTAATAAACTTTGATGACTGTATACCGAAGGTGGTTTCTGTCCCCATTTACTTTAGCAGATACAGAATGAGATGGCCAAGTAGGGGTACATTATAGATATTTTCTAATGGAAGTAATTCTGTAGAATCATTCTTACAACCCAAGGATGGGTAATCATAGATAATTGTGTAATGACATTTATAGCACATTAAGCATCATTATGAATTACTCGCATCTCCTATATAAGGATGGAGTCTCTTTCCACACTCCTTGAAGCTCACACTCCTTGTAACTCACTTCAACCAGTATTCCGTGGAAGGAGCACGAGGCATTCCAAACCGGGATTTAAGAGGCTTCTTTCACTACTATACTTGTGAAACAGTATAGTCTGGTGATTAAGCCTAAGCTACTTCCTCTGAGGCTCAGACACTGCCTGGAGAAAGGGAGATCCCGACACCCCAGAAAAGGATGGTAGGACCAGCCATCCCACAGACCTGCCAACTAACTGAGAATGCATGAGTGAGCTCATCTGATACCATACTAAGCAGGTCAGCCACCCACCTTTCCAAATCACCAGTTCGTAGACTCATCAGCAAACAAACAGTTGTTTTAACTATTGGGAATAGTTTGCTGTAGTTACCATTTTCTGAAATTTCGGGGTTTTTTTTTCACAAATGTTTTAACTGTTAACCTCATGCTAACTCTTGTCCAGCAACCACAATAAAGAAATTCATGTAAACTGTATAGCATTCACATATGTACTCACCGTTAACATAAAATGTCTGTGAACTCTGCCTCTGTTTGGGTTCAAATTCCATCTCAATACTTAACTTAGCCCTACAAACAAGAGCTTTTCCATTATCTTCAGAGGTTGGGATGAAGGTTATTTCCAAACTCCTGTTCTCCAGAGATTTCTTCTTGACCACCTCCAAAAAGTTTTGATGCTTCATAATATTGTCACCCTTCAGTAATTCAATCTCCACCCGGTCAGATGGATATACGTCTGGAATGACGCAGCTTACAGTGACCGGGTTTCCATTCACTACTGGGCTGCTCATCTCAACTTCTGGATCTTTACGGAATGCTGCAAATGCCAAGCAAAAATGGTGTTCACAAGTGTTATTTGATGAGACAATAGGACTATTTTTTAGTAAATGCAAAGGTCTCAAAATGACAGTTTTAACTCACCTGTAATAGAATGATCACAAATATATAGAAAACTTTATGGTATTATATATGTATACATATATATTATAATTATGGTATTAAATATAATAAAATGGAAAGAGGACCTAATGATCGATGGTGGAGGACTCTGGGTAACAGTGACAGGTGTGGTGTGGTAACATATATGTATGTTACCTCTGGACCATATATGGTGTTGTCAAGCAAAATAACTTCAATAAATAAAAAATAAATAAATGCTGGGGGGAAAAATCACTTGTCAAGTAAAAAAGACTTATTTTTTCTTATTTATGATACAATCTTAGTGATTGTTATGTCAGGCATGGTCTTATTAGCAACTACATATTTTAACGTTTAAATATCTTCTATAATGTATTAAATATTTAATATAGACCAGCCTCTTAATATTCATTATCACAGTCTTAAAAACGGCTGGATAAAATGGGTGTCATTTGGCCCTCCCTGGTAGCGCAGCAGGTTAAAGCACAAAGAAGCTTAAGCCACTTCTGCATGAGTTCGATCCCCGCCTGCCCCAGAGGAGACCACATGGCGCGGTAGACCTCTCATGACCCTCCCGCTGCTCCCCTCAGCAGTGTACTTCGTAGATCTGCCTGTTCTGCACTCCACTCTGTCTCTGGTGAATCCTCTCACCCTCTGCTTCTCTGGCTTGTACCCCAGTTCTGTACGAATAAATAAATAAATCTTTAAAAAAAATAAATAAAATAATAATAAAAAATGGGTGTCATTTAATATATTTTACAGCTGGAAAAACATAGAAAATGCATTTTAATGCTAGGAAAACTTGTAAAGTTTATAGAGACTGAGATTTGCACTAGGCCTCCTATCAAATAAGTTACTGAGCTGAGATTAGAACTTGCATTTCTCTGAACTCAGAACCCAGGCTTGGTTTTGCAGAGTTTGCGGCCTCCCTATCAAGGAATTCCACAGGGCCATTCTCAATTTAGACATTTTAATTTCCAATAGCCAAGTTTTGCCAGCAAACCTTAACTATTTCTCAGCTAAAACTTGTGGTTTTGAAAAGCTATAAAAAATTTAGATTCTAAGTAGCACATGGAGTGCAAAGCAATAAAAATTAGACTAAGGTAGAGTTATCAGGTGCAAGAGCAATGCTTAAAAACTTACTGCTTAGCAAAATGTCATTGAAGTCATACATTCTCTAAATTTTCATATTGCAACAAGACTCCCCTGCTGGTTCTCATTTCTACTGAGAATGTGCTTACATCAGCAATCCTGCACTCTGGGTAATATGATAACTCAGTAAAATTTACCCCTCTTTTGAGAGATTCGGATCCCTTTACAAACATACTCTATTCTGAACAAACTCCTCAGGGCTAACACAAGTTTGGGCAGGTTTTTCTGGTAGAAAAAGCTCTACAGTAGTTCTCTTGAATTTGCTGAATAAAACAAAGCAGAAACACTCTCAAATAACATTGTGATCTCCTTGCATATTTTGATCCTCATTCATTATAAACTGAGGAACTCCAGCAATGCCAAATTAGAGACATTGGCGTTTTAAAGGATTGTTATTAAGTTAAAAAGGACTGAAAGTAAAAGTGGGCGTTTGCATTCATTGCAAATCAATATGCTGAGCTAGCAAGTGCTCTCTCCTGGATCTGCTTCTCACCTGGGCTGCCTCTCACCATGCCTTCTAACCAAAGTCACTCCCTGTCTTCATATTTGACTTTCTCCTGCTATCCCCTACAGATCATTTTCCACACACAGCAGATCAGTTTTTCCAAATGTGTTTCCAAAACAATAGACTCAAGTATCAAGTGCCTCCTCAATTTGGAATAATTGCACAACAATCACCTTCCCCCCCACCCAGTTACCTGACTGGAGGCTGACCTCCTGCTCTTTGCCTACCATCACCTCTATACACCCTGCATAGCACACAGAGCAGTGGGGAGCAAGGAGCCTGCAACATGTCCAAGAGCATGATTAAGGAGTATTGGTAAGACACAAACTACTGGCCATGCACGCTGTGTACATATTAATGGACACTTAATGAATTAAGTTGCCTCAAAAATTCTGATGCTGAGTTTGAAGAACTTTTCACACTGCTAAAATCCCTTTCTAACCCTATGAATTGCGCTGTATATCACAGACTAATTTTCTGCTTCTTCCAGTAAAGTTGGGGGATGGGGAGCAGTAAACAATTCTGAATACAACTTACAGTAAGGTACCACCTGGATTCCCCTTTCCAGCTTCTTATTCCCACATGTCACGGTGCACAGGTAAGAATGTTCATTCTCAAAACTGATAGGATTCAGGGTCAGCGTTGACTTGGTTCCCTCACTCCTGGCTTCCCCACTCAGAGGACTGTCTATCTGGGTTCTCCAAGAGAACGTCGGAGACTCACAGCCTGAGACATTACATGTCAACACGAGGGAATCTCCAATCTGAGCAGCAACCTTATGTCTTGGGGAGATCTCGATAGCAAATGGTTTCTCTGGAGGAAAAAGAATGAGATAAAAACCAGGTAAGATTCTTTTCTTCTTTCACCACACTCCAATAAAAGATTTTTTTTTTCTTTCCTGACCTCCTTGCAGTTAACATGTGTGGCAAGAAGAAATTACCTCTTGTCACCTTGGGACCATCAAGAAGGAAACTCCATCTTTTAAGTTAAGAATGACTCACAATAGGCTGTTGATTCATTCATTGAACAAAATGAATACAGATAAAAATTTGTCGAGACAGAGATTGGCATCTTTTCATAACAATAATTCAATCTCAGATCAAATGTAGTTTATCAAATCCTTATAATAGTGAATAACTGCTCAAATAATCTAAGAGGTTCGAAGGTGTCAAGCATTGTGTGAGCTGCTTGATATATATCATGTCATTTAATGCACTGGTACTATTAATTCTCCATTTCCATATTCTTCTGCTTCTTCCTGTTCTCCTCCTCCTCCTCCTTTTTCTTCTTGAGGAAATTAGGCTCAGAAATGCTAAATAACTTTATCAAACTTGCAAGTGACAAAATTGGGGCTTGACGTCAAACAGGCCTGTTTTAAGATTCTAACTTTTCAGTTACTTAAACAGCTAAATCAAGTCATCCTCATGTGGAGATCCAGTCTCAGAGAGATACTGAAAAAAGCTACAAAAAGATGTCTTCTAATGAGACACACCATCCTACTAGCCCAGCACTTAAGAGATTCTGTATCAATAATGAAAGTTATACCACTGAAGGTTACACAGAATCATACTGAAAGCAAAGTTAAAATCGAAGTATTAAGGGATACATAAGCTGTTGCTAATGTTTGTTGATGTGGTAGGAAAGAACTTAACCATTAACTCAGGGGCAGAAAGCTGAGATTTGAGGGCAAACTCCTAAGTGTCCAGCATTCTTTGACAGCCAGTGCTATGCCTGCCTGACACACAGACTGTTTTGAGGTAACTACTGTCTGAAGAGAAAGGGAATTCCAAATCTCAAATCCATTTCCCTGAAGAAACCAGGAGAAGCTGGGAAGCTCTGAAAGTGCTCGCTGAGATGTCACAGAAAAATCAACTAAAATCATCCTTGTAAATAGAAGGTTGACGATAGGGAAAAAAAAGAATTAGGTTATAATGATATAACCTGAAGAGTACATTTTCTGGATTCTTTTCTGTGCCTGGAAAAGCAGTTTTTCTAGTTGGGTTGTTTAATTGTGACATCATAGTGACTTCCAAAGAATGCAGTCCTCAAATTTCCTCAGAAAACTGATAATGTTATTAGATTAGGTACCATTTCCCAGGTCACCCACTGAATTTCCTTTTGAAAATGTGACTCTTTGAGAGTAACTGTGGCCACAGATAAGTCCTTTGAAAGTCCAGTTCTCTATTCAGTACTTACAGTTATTAGTATCCTGTGATATAAAATTCAGAGTAACCTTCTCAAAACCCAGAATATATTTCCTTTATACAGGGAAATGGGATACAGCTTATCATAGGGTGGAGTTATTCTAGGATAGATGATTAACTTCACATTTTTTTTTTATTATGTAATAGAAAGTTTTCTCAAGAATGCTAACCTAATACCCAATTGAGTTAATCTATGGCAAATGAGTTCGAATTTCCTTTTTCTAACCATTCAACTAAAGCTTCAAGTTTTCATATTTTAAAAGTTTGTGTTGTATATGTTTATGTAAATTCATCCAACATTTACTGAGTAATACTATGTAGGAGGCACGCAAGATTATAAGCTCTTCCAGGGTAGTTGCTATAACTTTTATGTCCATAGCCCCAGTGCCAAGCATAATGAATGAATTTTTGGGTAATGATTCTTAACATGTACTAAAATGAACAAAAATACATATTCATTTATTAAGAAGTTTTAAACATTCACAGAGGAAGGAATGCCCAGCTTTGCATGACATTATCTGAATTGGGTGAGTGACTTAAACGTGGCTATGAAAAATGGTGAAAAGTTTGTCAGGTGAAGGAAGGAATAGGTTTTCCTGTCAGGAAGAAGTGTTAACAGAGGCACAAGGCCACCAAAGACACTTGCAAAGGTGGTTTCTGACCAGAATGTGTGAGGAGTTTTATAAAACTACTATCAGAAATGTGAATTTTAATTACACGGAATTAGGGTTCGGTTGAGGTAATGAAAGAGTGCCTGTTTTGTGTAAAGTAGATAACTCTTGTGGTAGTGCACAGGGTTATCTTGGGGGAGAGGGACAGCAGGGTGATCATTGTAAAAGACACTAAACTGCAGTTGAAAAGTCATGCATTTTTGGATTGAAATGGGCCTGTGTTAAAATCACAGTAAATAAACTAATGAACTATTTGAGTCTAGGCAAATGATAGACTAGACTGAGTCTAAGTTTTTATTCACATCACAAAATGTCATATACATAAAGTGGAAAGTAGAATTCCCTGCAAATATTTGGTATACAATGACTCATAGCCAGTGTTAGTTTCTGTGAAACACTATTCTCTTATCTGTGAAATGGATATAAAATATTTTTTCTTTAGTTATTTGTTGAAAAGTACAATCAACACATATAAAGTGTCTAGAAAACAGTTGTTTTCAATGAATATTGTTACTGCAAGAATCCAACTGACAAATGAAGATGTAATGGCAATAAGGCTGGTTAAAAAAGAGGACGTGTGCTAAAAGATCATATTTTTGAGATAGAACTGACAGGATTTGGTGATATGTAATGGGTATAAGAATTTCAGAGTAAACAACATTATAGCAGTCAAATCTTGAAAATCTAGAGTAAGAGAAGAGGACCTGGTAAGGATTACTAGGAATGACTTTACAGGCAGAAGGAAGAGAGAAGTGAGGAGTGAAGGAATGATGAGAGATGGAAGAGTCAGAAAAGGAAAGCCAGGGAAACTAAGAGGAAAGACTCCCAGGATGTGGAAGATGAACACAGAATTGTGCTTAAGTACATGACAATCAGAGGGGTCATTAATGAATCTTAAGGAAGCAACTTTGACATTGAAGCTTTCATATTATTGAGCAAATATCAACAACTTTTTCATTTCTTTTTTACAGTTTGCTTACCTTGAACGATTAATTCCACCTCTTTTTTGTCTCTTCCAACCAGATTAACTCCTTCACACATATAAATTCCAGAATCTTCCATCCTCATAGCAATTAAAGTGAGAGTTGCATTCTCAGAAAGGAGTTGTACATTTCCATCATCTAATTTCTTTCTCCAGATAATCTGTGGAGCTGGCAGACCTTCGCTGGAACATGTCATTGTTACAGAACCACCTTCTTGCAGCCTTGTGGAGGGATTCACAGATACAACTGTGTTCTTGGGTGAAACTGAAAGGGCATGGTATTAGTAATTGCTAAGCATCACCTATCTATCTTTACATGTTTTCACAAACTTGACAAATTCACTCCGCCAAACTAGTCCAAAAAATTTTCTCTGAATTGAGACCCTCAGAGCAATGTGGTTCAATCTCTTAAATAATCTCCCATCTCCACATCCTTGCCAAGTAGATCTAAGTCAGCTTCAACCCGTGGAGCTAGGTAATCTACCCACTGCCTTAAAAACAGTCCATTTGATTTTTGCACAGCTGTAATTATTAGAAAGTTTGTTTCTCATTGAGCTGAAATATTCTCTTTGTAAGCAACTTTTACATATTGGTCATTATTCAATCCTTCGCTGTTACAAAATAAATCAATTAATGACATACTGGTCATTATTCAATGATGGACATTGATGACATATTGGTCATTATTCAATTATTCAATGATTCAGGCTTAGTCACATGCCTGTCTTTCAAATACTTACAGCTATTTTCCAAGCTTTATATTCTCTAGGAAAAATATTCCTCATCTTGACTGTTCCTTTGAAAATACTGATGAAGACCTTTCCATTTCCTTGTCTTTTAACTAAGTATGCAATAGTAGACAATACGCCATTTAAATACGATGTCTAGAACACATTTTAGACTAGAACACAGCACAGTGAGTCTACATCTATGTGATTCTGAGACTGTAGAAGTCTCCAATTCCCCAGAAGTATCAAGGAACACGAAGACAATCAAACCTCATTTCCTCCCCAATGTACATGTACAGGTGAGCACATGCATGTGCATACGCCCATACAGAGTAGGTGCTACCTTGTAAAATCTCTATGCTTTGATATTTGAAGGCCTAAGAGTTTATAAAACTTAATTAAAAACATTTATCATTTGAACTCAATTCCTATTATCCAACTAGTTGATATTGTTTTTAATAGATAGGAAATAGAGAAGTGGTCCAAGTTTACAATTCGTGGAACCTTAAGTTCCATGGGGCTCTTTTTTTTTTTTTAATAATACAATAGTTTATTTTTATATCAGTTTGTGCCTTTTTCTATCTTAGTTATAATCCCTGTGGGCTTCCCATCACCAAATCACCTATGTACCATCACCACAGTGCAGCACACTTCCCTCCCCCTCACCATTCTTGATCCCCATGGGCTCTTTTAACTGAATTATGCTGTTGGAAAACATTATGTTCTCAGTGAATAAAAATGGTAAAGAAAGAAACTACAAATAAGTTTCTTCTTGACTTTGCTCTTAAGTTTATTGCTGGATTCATACAGAGCTCTTGACCACAAATACTTACTGTAGACTTGCAGGTTTTGGGTAGTCTCCCTTCTTTTGGATTTATCATCAAGTTCATTAATGTGTAATTTAGCTTGGCAAACAAGGGCCTTTCCAACATCCTCATTGACAGGAGTAAAGGTTACCTCCAAACTCTTGGTTTCCAGGGACTTTGTGTGCATACCCTCCAGAAATTCCTGATTCTTCATGAGTTGGTCACCTTTAAGTAAATCTATCTCCAGTCTGTCAAAAGGGTAAACATCAGGAACCAGACACGTGACTGTGATTGGCTTCTCAAACTCCAGAGGTCCACTCAAGTGGATCTCTGGGTCCTTGGAGAAAGCTGTAAAGATCAAATGAATACATGTGAGTGGGGTTTTTGTTCATTTTATATAAAGTTTGTTAAAGCAATGCAAACTGATTTTTTAAAAATCAATACAGAGTTATTATGACTAATTGTTTATATAACAGTTTGTGGTTTAAGGGGGCTTCAACAACTGGAGTCACTTTTTAGAAAGCTCTTCAGTTTTAAACTTGCATTTACTAAGGGTTGCATTTTTTTTTTTTAAGATTTTACTTATTTTTTCATCAAAGAATTGGGGTATAGGCCAGAGGTGGGGGGTGGCAAGGGGATTCACCAGAGACAGAATGGAGAGCAGAACATGCAGATCTACTGAAATAAACTGCTGAGGAAAGCAGCAAACAGGTCAGGAGAGGTCTGCTGCAAGGTGTGGGTCAGCTCCCTGTCTGGGGAGCAAACTCAGGCTGTCACAGTGGGCCTTAGTGGTGGCAGCACTGAGACTTATTCCCTAGGCCACAAAGGAGGCCCCAGGGTGTTTTATTGTAGGAGAAGAGAAATTCATTTTTCTTGAATTTATATGTGCTAGTCCTTTATGCTATTTATGAACACAAATGAGCTTATTTTATCCTCACAATGATCCTAAAACACAGAAACCACATTTCACAGATAGAAAAACACAGATGGTATGCTTGTATAACTTTCCTAAGGTCATACAGCTGGGTAAAAGATAAGGTTGAGATTTAAACCCAGGATTTCTATTATTCTACATTGCTACTACAGATTTATATTATGTTATATCACATTCTCTTATTTTAGACAGAGAAGATATATTTCCATTTTACAGGCAAGGAATTTGAGGCTTAGAATACCATTGCAAAGGACAGTTCATGGGCAAGATAGGGTAAGTGAAAAGAACCACTTTAAATAGTTGACTTCTGACAATGGTGCTTCTGACAGGAATTCATCCACTAGAAAGATACATGTGCGCAATCTTTAAACTCTGAAAGGCAGATTTGGCTCCTGAAATACCTAACTCACAGTCTGAAATAGTATTCCACTTGAGCCATTTAGTGTCAAGGAAACACACTATTCCAGTTTGCTATGGCCTCCTTTGCAAGAGTTACCTTTTCATTACCAACCTTTATTATTGAAGCAAATTGACTGGACTCAAGATTCCATGAAATCAGAACACAAAGTTCCCAACTGTTAAGCACTATCACATTTGAATGTGGGATGGAGACAGGACAGTTAATATTATAAGAGACAGACGTTTTGAAGAAAAAAATCTCAGGCAAGATAATTAAAGCCAGAAGGGTCTTCATTTGTTTTAAATCTTCAGCTATTTGGTATTTATGAGCAAAATCAAAGGAATTGAAAATGCTTTGCAGTGTGAAAAACACTGTTTTTCTATTTTCCACTAGTAACTTCTGCCTGTCATGTTCTGGAACTAACAAACACGTCTATAGTCCAAACAGTTTGCTGTTAGGTAATTTAAGAACTTACTTCTTTTCTCTGTATTTATATAAGGGGACTGTTTAAGGGGCTCAGTAGGCTGTTCAGACATAAACTATGCACATACAATCAGCATAATTGAAAGCAGCCGGCCAGCCACAGTTTCTTCAGATGCAATGGCCACCTATGGGGATTGTTGGAGACACAATTAAGGTTCCTGGGTGAAGTTGGACTCCATTACAGCAGAGGAGACCCGATATAGTGGTAGATAATCAAATGAGCTCTTTATGAAGAGTTAACCATAAGGACTCCATTTTTGGGTTTTGTTTTCTTGGACTCAGTAGTCATCAATTACCACAGGCCAGTGAATTACTTCAGGTTCATTGCCTAACCCTTTTGCTAGATTTATTCGCTGGATTTAGAACTGACTGGAATACATTCTGGAAGGTTGTTAAACAAGGGGTATTCATTCACATTCAGGAGGCAAATCTAACTCTTCAGACAATTAACTTGAGGTTGAGCAGTTGAGCATTAAGGCTTAATGACACTAAACAAAAATAAAAGCTTCCACAATTTATCTGTCCCAAAGTCAAGCTAGTGAAATGTTTGTAGGCAGCTTTCTTATGTTTGTAGGCAGCTTTGTTATGTTTAAGGGGACAACTTGGTTAGAAAAGTCTATTGCTAAATTATGGAACATCTACTTAACTTTTCAGCTATTTTAAGCACCAACTTGTGTAAGAAGAAATAAGTGGAAAATCCCTGAAGGATGGAATTCATAAATCTTTTATACACATGGCCGAGTAAACATGCATTTACTCAAATTGCATTTTTAAAAAAATATAAAATACAAAGAATCTTACAGACCTGAATTTTATTGCAAGAAAACTGAAGCCCAGAGAAGCTGATTCTCACAGATGATCAGCATTTAGGGGAAAGAGTTGAAAAGAAAAGTCAAGATTTGGTTTCCTGGTCTAGAGCTCCACTCAGCTAGCTCTACCTTCCTTGATGTAGTTTGTGCAAGAATCTGAACATGAACATTCCTTATAAAATTGTTGCAAAATACCCTTTTACAGGAACTTATTTTCCAGCAAAATTGAGAGAAAGTCGAGTCTACTCTAAAGTACTCACAGTAGATCTCCACCTGGATCCCTTTCTCCAGCTTCTCAGCACCACAGGTAGCTGTGCACAGATATGAGTGTTCATTCTCAAAACTGACAGGGTTCATGGTCAGCGTGGACTTGCTCCCCTCATTTTTCACCTTCCCGTTTAGCGGACTGTCTATCTGGGTTCTCCAAGAGAATGACGGAGACTCGCATCCTGTCGTGCTGCATATCAGTGAAACAGAGCCACCAATCTGAGCAAAAATCTGGTCTTCAGGGAAGATCTCAATTTCAAAAGCTTGAGCTGTGAAGGCAAAAAAAGAGAAAGCAAACTTTTGACAGGTTTGTTTAGTATCTCACACTCTCTTCTCTGTTCTAGTATAATTTCCAAAATATGAGCTGACAGATCTTCTTTCTAAACTGTTTTGTACTGACTGCAAAGCCCTGGAGTGTTGGAAGCATCTTCACTGAGAAGGACCAACTTTTCTACTTTGATGCCCATTTCTCAGTGCTGTTTTTGTTACTTGCCAAGTTTGATCTCATTGCCAAGTACAGAAAATGAAAGATATAGACCTTACCAGAGAATGAATCCAATTACTCTTTTTAACATTTGAACAAAGTTATCCAAAAAGCATCAATTTGAAGTTCTATCACAGCACAATGGCACATAGCAATTCTCAGGAGAGATCAGATATGAAGCTAAATTGTTTGCCCACTATTTAAAAATCCGAGTGCATTTCTTCCCTACCCTAGCAAAAGTGACTGAAGTGAAAATCAGGGCTAAAATGGAATTGTAAGCATTTGAAACAGATCAAAGAGGAGAACTTACACGCTGCAAACATCATCCAAAGTAAGTTTGAGACGCCAAAGACCGCGACCATTTTCCCAGGCATTTTAAGTTGCTGCTGTGATAAGAAAATAATAACTTCCAAACTGTCCTTTCTGTCCCACCTGAAAGAGCCTGGGAAGAGTTCTGACCTCCAAAAGCCAGTGAGGCTCAGACCGGAATAAAATAGAAAGTCTGCTCTTTATAAAGGATCTTGTTGCTGAGGCACAGAGGCGGAGGGAAATCCCTTCAAGGGGAAACCCAGAACAGAGCCAGAAAAAAAGTTTAACTGACTCCCAGCCAAGTCCAAGATTAACCCCTCAGTTGCTTTCAGTGCTGAAACTACGCTCTCATTTCTAGAAAAAGAACACTTCCAAAGCCATAAAGTGAAGCTTTTCCTGATGTTCACTTCAACTAAACACCTTTGCAAGACAGCTATCAGGTAATACTTAATGCAAAATGAGGTTTTTAGAATCCAGTGGAGGAAAGGAGAGAGGGACAGAAAACAGTCAATGCTACTCCAGTTTCTGTGGTGGTAAGGTACCACTATGTCATGTGAACTGATTCTTCTCCACTAAGAAGATATGCTGCAACTGTGAAAGAGAGAGAGAGAGAGTATATCTTTGTGGCTTTATATATTTTATTTATAAAAATGGCAATTTTGACAATAAACATCAACTCTCTGAAATTAGTTATGAATGGAAAGAAAAAGAATGTTACTAAAACTAGAGAAATCATTTTCTTTCTTTTTTTTTTTTTTAGAAAACTTACCAACTCTTTGCTTTAATTGCTGCATAATCAGGAGTCTTTTGCAGACTAAAATGCAAATGTATGGAATTCATCTGAATTGGTAAATGTCCTGGACTGTAATATTTAATCATAAACACAGTCAAAACATGAAAACTAATTTGTTTTTGTTATATTGGGGGTGATGATAACCCCCAATGATATGCGCTTTTCTCCTCCAGGGAAATGACTTTTTAAAAGGTATTTTTGATTGGCGGTTTTAGCCTTGCACACACATAGCTCAAGTCTCTGCAAAGTGCTTGCCATCAAAAGAAACCAAAATAGCCACTTCCTTGTATTATAAACAGGCAGGTCTGTTCCCCCACTGGATTATCAGTTTCAGTCCCTTTCATTGATGGGGCAAGTTTTGTTCATTATTGTATCTGCTTCCCAACATCTAATGCATCATTTTGCATTCAGTGAGTACAAAAATGCAATAATAAATATAAAACTAAAATGTGGAAAGGAAATTTCCCAAATACTAGCAATGTTACAAAAATACTGCATAAAAGAATGCTCAATTCTAGGTGAAAACCCCAATCTCGTAGGATCACTGGGATGTGTACAATAAATAGCCCCACACTGCAACAGAGATAAAAAAAAATTGAGAACCCACAACTGTCCCTACAAGATTGGGGTGGCTTCTAGACTTCTTGAATATTGATGCGGTTTCCACTAAGGAAAAAGGTCAGAAAGTTAGCTTCAGGCAAAATAAGCTGGTCTGCAGGTAGTTTAGAGGTCCTTGGTTAATACTGGTGTCAGGGAAGATGATCAGAAATCAGAACCACTTATGTTGATTTGGGAAACTTTAGAAGAGATCTAAAGGGGGTTCTGGGTTTAATTCATCTTTCAGATGAAATGACCGACAGGACCCAGAGTGGCATCACTGAGACTTCAGTTGCAAATAACTTCAGTTCTGAGTTTGGATATGATGCTAAACCTGGAACACTGGGGAAAATGTCTAATTTAGTAAGTTCGTAGTGGTCTCAGCAAAAAATTTGATAAGTCCCTCGTCATAACTTTGATTTGGATGCCTTTAAGGACTACTCCTAGGTTGAACTGACTATACTTTCTTCTGTAGCCTCTATAGACCCAATTACACCATCTATATTTGTTTACACACATGCTTAACTGGGAGTAATAGTGCCGTTTGTTTTTTTTAAGATTTATTTATTTATTCATTCATACAGAACTGGGGTACAGGCAGAGATGCGGAGGGTGAGAGGATTCACCAGAGGCAGAGTGGGGAGCAGAACAGGCACATCGATGAGGTACACTGCTGAGGGGGGCCGCTGGCGGGTCAGGAGAGGTCTGCTGTGCCATGTGGTCACCTTTGGGGCAGGCGGGGATCGAACTCATACGAAGTGGCTTTAGCTTCTTAGTGCTGTGCTTTAACCCACTGTGCCACCAGGGAAGGCCTGGTAATAGTGCCATTTTAAATGATCAACATTATTTTTGTGACTATGAAATCAAGTGCGAATGTGAAATCTCTTTAAATACAGCAAAGTAGGACCCTCCCTGGTGGCTCAAGGCATTAAAGTAAAACACTGTGAAGCTGTCTGCAGCCACTGCTGTACAAGTTTTGCTAGGAAGGTGACCCACATGGCACAGCAGACCTCTCCTGTCTTGCCCGCTGCTCCACTCAGCAGTGCACTTCATCGGTCTTCCTGTTTTGCTCCCTGCTGTCTCTGGTGAATCCTTTCACTGCCCTTGCATGTCTGGCCTATACCCCAGTTCTGTATGCATAGATAGATAGATAGATAGATAGATAGATAGATAGATAGATAGATAGATAGATAAATAAATCTTTTAAAATAAATAAGTATAGCAAAGTGTTACAAAGATAACATGTAATAACATTGATATTGGCCATATTAAATTCTTTATGAACAACTTTCTAGTAGTGAAATAATCTCAACAATGGAATGTGTTGCCTTGTTAATTCACCAATTCCTAATCACTGAGGTTGTCAAGCAATGTTGGATGACAATTCTTAAAATGTGGTAGAGGTCGTTTGGCTTTATATGGAACCATGAAGTATCCACTGAATGACCAGGTGCCTGCCAATATTCAGTGTTATTCCGGGTCGTGCTGTCCATCTTTTCTAGTCTAACTACACTGACCCCGCACAAGCTCTATCAAAACAGCATATTCTGACGTTGCTCAGAGAGACTTCAGGCACAGCTCTTGCATCCTTTTAACAACTCTAAATTTGTAACAATGCCAACACTTTTAAGACTTCCAAGTCGTCAGTTTATTAAGGACTTTTCTGAGGCAGAAGTTCCTCTTATATTTTCTTGAATGAACCTAACATATCTGAGGAAAGTTACATCCCTAGTAGGAACCCTGGCTTATAATGGCAGTGATTCTTACTAAGAGGAGCAATTCGTTTTCTTTTTTTCTTTAAACATTTTTAAAGGACAGGTCATTTAGGAATAGAAATAAAAGAGAAGAACCTGCGTAGTCACAGATGGGCAGAAGAGCTGCTGCTTCTGAGCAAAGGGGAAAGATTTGTGAAAAGAAATGCCTGCGGAGTCACAGCTAGGCAAGGTTGTTAAAGACGCCTGTGTAGACAGTCATGAGGGGAGAGCTGTGGAGTAATTCCTTTTTCTAAAGGGCACATCAGAATGGGGTGGAGAAAGTAGCAACCCCCTTTGGTAGATTCTACAAATGTCAATTCCTCCCAATATAAGGATCATTACTCAATACAGATTCAAAGGATCACTTTCCTATGACTCCATGACTTTCCATGTAGCAGAAATCTTCATGCATTCACTCATTCACTCATGATTTATGTATAGAGGTAACACTGTACAAACACTGTATAACAGAAATCTTTTACAGTGATGTATGAGGCTCGGGGTAGGCACTTCCAGTCTGGCTCAACCCCTTGAGGAAAATACCAAGGACCCAGATTCATTCTAGCTTTTGGTTTTGTCTTGTACAGCGGGGGGTAACCCAAGAGGCTAAGATGACTGCACATCTTTAAACACATATCTGTATTTCAGGCTGGAAAACTCAGAAAAGAGAAGGATAACAAAGGCAGTGAGGTTACCCTCTTTCAAAGATCTTTCCAAAAAGCCCCAGGGGGTGACTTCTACTTGTTACCTCACTGACCAGGAGGGAGATTGAATATTGCGAATTTTATTGTTCCAAATAAATGAGGATATTTTGTGGAAGAAAAGGGGAAGAGTGAAGGATGAGTAAGCAATTAATAGTGTCGGCCACAGTTTCCTTATCCAGTTCAACACACTAAGTGTTCATTGAGAAACCACTGTACCAACACTATTCCTGAGTAGGGAGTGCAAATGAAGATGAGCAGAGTTCCTGTTACAGAAAGAACTGTTGTCACACGATATTACTTGTGACTCAGAGGAAGGAGTCGTTTACTTATTTCTTACCTATAATTAGGAAATAAAAAAAACATGTTAGCACACTGATTTAAGTTTGAAATTTTCTGGAAAGCAACTACAGGAAGGGCCATTGTTTAAAAATCTACTTCACCATGGATTTATGTAAGTTTCTGGAATTTTGAGGAAAAGTTGCTTGTAAAAATAGAACGCATAAGCCCTACTGAGTTTTTGGTCTGGCACTGATTTATTACATAGATAATAAAAGCATAAAAAAAAACCCTAAAATTAATTTTTTTCTTTTTAGTTTAGAATTCATTTATGTTTCAACCACATAACCCCACTTAATAAATTTAGCATTTCATATGGACAAAAGTGCTTTTGTGTATTCCAGTTCTGTTGAAATGACTTTCCCCTTCTCTTTGCTTATCCCCCTTTCTGGCCTTCTTAAAAACTCCTTGAAATTATTTCATGGCCTACTGTTTCCAGTATGAGCTTTACTTTCTAAATATATTTTGACTCTTCAGGTATAAAAATCCAGCTTTTACATATCACCCCCTCTTGGGCTCTGTCTGTTCCTAGTGCTGTGAAATGATATAAAATAAGCAAGAACATTGTTTCCAGACCAACAGATGATAACCAAGGCAGTAATTCAGTATATTCTTTCAATTATTAACACCATTTCACATTTGTCTAACTTTTTAGATACTTTTCAAAGACCCTTATCACCTGTGAGCCCCACAGAAGCCCCATGAGAGCAGCAAGTGGGTGCTTGTGTACTCACAGAGGTGACTACGACATGGACACTCAGAAGTTGAGTTAAAAGGACCATGAATTGGGGCCCTCCCTGGTGGCGCAACAGGTTAGGACACAGCACTGCAAGTTAGCTGCAGTGCGTCAGAGCCCAGGAGGAGATCCACCTGGCACAGCAGACCTCTCCTGATCCACCTGCTGCTCCCCTCAGCAGTGTAATTCGTCGATCTGCCTATTCTGCTCTCCACTCTGTCTCTGGCGAAGCC